GACATGTTAGAGACAGCATTTAAAAATGGTAAAGCAGTTCAAATGATATATCTGAGTTCAAGAACCTGTGTTTCCTTGACCAGGTATTCCATGGAAGAAACTCATATTAGCTGCATACACAGTAAGACATAAATCACAATTAGCAAGGAACAGAAGTTTCAAGGTCACAATTAAAGCAATCACATCATAACTTCATATTGTGCCATCTCTTGGGAGGATGTGACATTTGATACTTTGCAAACATTTCAGGCATCTTCAGTTTGCAAACCGCATCTGTTTTGAAATCAGACATGGCTTTAAGGAGGAAATTGAGATTTCTTTGAGATGTGGCATTCTCCTGAGACCGATTTGGTGAATCAGTTAGTATACTAGATGGAAACGATATGCCTCGGAAAGGAGATATGATTTGTACACAATGGTTGATTTCCATGCCCTGGCCGCCAGGGAGCTTTGTGAGAACAGCTCCCCCTGGTGTGAAACCTGACCAAGGGGGGCAGGAATCTAACTGTAAGAATCTTAAGGTTTCAAAGACAGGCCTATCATATTTTTGGAGTATAAGACGCACCTCTTCCCTCAAAAAAGAAGCTGGAAATCTGGGTGCATCTTATACATTGAATACAGCATTTTTTTGCCTCCCGAAACCCTGTCCCCTTCACCAAACTAGCCTTTATGAGGCTTCCAGAGTGCTCCTGGGGGCTGGGAAGGGCAGAAATGAGCGGAAAATGTGCCCTTTTTTGCTTACTCCCCCCCTCCAATCCCCAGGAGCACTCAGTGCTCAAGGCTATGCATACTTTTTTTGGACAAAAAATGGGCTGGTTTTGCCTGGTTTTGCCCCCCATCCCACCCCCGGGAGCATTCTACAAGCCTCCTAAAGGATATTCATGCACTTTTTTTGGAAAAAAATTGGGCCCATTTTTGTGAGAAATGGGCCATTTTTGGGAGGTCTGCAGAGTGCAATATTTTTTTTAATTTGTCTCTTCAAAATCTTATACTCTGAAAAACATGTTACGTGAAATTGGCAGTTTTTGCTTTGCTATAGATTCACTTCCTCTCACTGTGTCTCCTGCACAGTAATAGATGGCTGTGTCATCTGTTTTGAGGCTGTTCATTTGCAGGTACAGCTGGCTTTTGGCATCGTCCCTGGAGATGGTGAAGCGTCCCTTCACTTTGTCAGAGTAGTGAAGATTGGAAGACCATATATATGCCACCCATTCAAGTCCTTTCCCTGGAGCCTGTCTCACCCAGTTCATGCTGTAACTGCTGAAGGTGAATCCTGAGGCTTGGCAGGAGAGACGGAGGGACTCTCCAGGTCTTCTCACATCTCCTCCAGATTCCACCAACTGGACTTGAGATTGGACTCCTAAAAAGAAAAGTATTTCATTGAGATCTCCTGTATAAAAGAAAAGCAAATGGAAGTAAATTCCCTATAGAGGGGAACAATTACCTCTGAGGGATGCAAGTAAGAAGACCAACTGCAGCCATGGGGTCATTTTGGCTTTCTCTAATGAATGGAGGGTAATTGATAGGAGAGAATTCTGTAAATCACCAGCACAAACTTTGTGTTGGTGGGTGTTGCCTGAAGAGGGAAATCCTGAGCTTTAAAGAGGAAATTGTTCCTCAATTTACATATCGCTTAAGATAAATGGGCCGCTCAGGGCATTCTCTTTGCACAGACTTTACAACTGTTCCTTTGTGCACATTATTTTGAAGAAATGCAAAGGAACAATGGAGAAGAAACCAGAAGGCACAATTTGAAACTCACAGATGAATTGTACATCCACAGTCTAGTGCCGTGATGGCAAACCTATGGCATTCGTGCCAGAGGTGGCACATAGAGTCCTCTCTGTGGGCATGCACATTGTTTCCAGCTGATCTTCTGGTTTCCAGCAGATGGTCTTCACGGGCAATGGACCGCTGGAAAACAGCCTGGAAACAGTCCAAAAATTGGCCTGAAAACAGCCCAAAAAGACAGCCTGAAAACTGCGACGAAAATGGCCAAAAACCCTGGCCTATTTTGAGGGCATTTTCTGGCAAGAAAACGGCCTTAAAATGGTCCAAAAAACAGCCTTAAAACAGCTGAAAAACAGCCCAAAACAACTGTTAGGAATATAATTCTAACGGTTAGGTTGGCAATATATAAATCATGTAACAATGTTTTACCTCTTTCATTAAATCATGCTGTAAAATGTGATTGCCTGCTCTTTTCCTCAATCGGCCATAAGTGGGAGCCAGAATGACTGTTAGCTCTCTGTTCGTTAGATGCTGGGCTGATCTGGAAGTGCTGTGAGCTATTGTAAGTTTTGCAAGTGTTAGAAAACTTTGAGTTCTGAACTGATTATAGGATACTGGACTATGTTATTTGGATTGTCCCTTAACTGAAAGACGTTGATGACTGACTGTCTTATCCATGTATGACTTGGACTGTTTGATGGACTCTGATACCTCTATTTCCACCAAAGTAAAAGTCTATTTAAACTTCAATGTCTCTGTATGCTTGTTTGTGTGTTCTCCAACACAACTCTCACAACGCTTCGCTGAACCTATTCGCTCTCCCAAAGGGGAGCTTACCTAACAACAACCAAAACACAGGCATGTGCATTCCAGCCTTCTGGTCTTTGGGTTTCCGGTGCTCTGGCACATGTACACACATTACAATTTGGGCACTCGTGCTGAAAAGGTTCGCGATCACTGATCTAGTGTCAAAAGTGTCTCAAAGTCCCAAATCAACTTTGCTGAATATCTGATAAAGGTGATTTTGAAATGCCAAAAGTTACAAACAGTCAAGGGTCACCTTTTTCTTTTTAAATTTATTGTGCATTCAAAGGGCTTTACATTAAGTAAGATAAAGTATTTTGGGTTATTTCAGAGTTTGTAGCAGCAATCACATGCAGAAAGCACACACAGATGATGGATTCAGCAGGATTCATTAACTTCTCTTTATATATAATATAACACATGAAGTAAATATGCAATACCTAAAGCAGGTTTTCCAATGTGGTAGTAAATAAAAGCAAACACAGGTAGAGGAGTGAACAGTTTCAGTTTCAGTTAGGAGCAGCAAAGATTTTTTGAGCTCAGAGCTTTAGTACAGAATAGTTGAGCTAAGCCACGCCCAGGCTCCTTGCTGTCTCCTTCTTGCACACACAGCAAATACTGTTTCAGTTTCCAAACAGCCCTCATTGGCTGACCTTGTTACTAAGCCCTATTCCAGTTCATGAATACTACACTGAAAGGTTAAGACTAAGGAAAGTGGTCCGGAACCCCAAAGAGAAAGAATGGACTATTTCTTTTTTTAAACCGACATGTTAGAGACAGCATTTAAAAATGGTAAAGCAGTTCAAATGATATATCTGAGTTCAAGAACCTGTGTTTCCTTAACCAGGTTTTCCATGGAAGAAACTCATGGCTGTTTAAAAAAAGAAATAGTCCATTCTTTCGCTGTGGGGCTCTGGACCACTTTCCTTAGTCTTTACCTTTCAGTGTAGTATTCATGAACTGGAATAGGGCTTAGTAACAAGGTCAGCCAATGAGGGCTGTTTGGAAACTGAAACAGTATTTGCTGTGTGAGCAACAAGGAGACAGCATTTAGCCTGACTGTGGATTAACTCTGTAGCTCTGAGTCTGTGCTGAGATCTAAACTAGCCTGCTGCTCTGAACTGAAATTGAAAACTGTTCTCTCCTCTGCCTGCGTTTTTTTGCGTGTATTTGCTACCATGTTGGAAAACCTGCTTTTGGTATTGTATATTGATTTCCTGTGTTATATTATATATAAATTAATATATATTAATGAATCCTGCTGAATCAGTTACCTGTGTTTGCTTTCTGGGTGTGGTTGCTGCGGCAAACTCTGACACGTTGTAACTTTGAACGGTCACTAAATGAACTGTTGTAAGTCAAGGACTGCCTGCACAAAGCTCTCTTTTGTCGCAATACTAAATGTGGGATGGCCAACAAGTATTGCAATATCCAGTTCACATGTTCACTTAAAATGTCCAGACACTGCTGAACTTGTGATGTAATTGAACTTAATTTAGCC